TAGGCATTTGGACATTATTCTATCACAGATAGCTTAGTTCTTCAAGATAAGTCTTGATATATCCTTTTTGATCATGAATGTGACATCATTCCTTTCAATTTGTCATTCCCGACATAGTAAACCATGTGATTGTCAGATTCAAAATGACCAATACCAGTCCCTTTCAGCTAACTAATGCCTAGGTTATCATTTGTTTATGCATTCCATTTCATTTTTGACAATTTCCAGATTCTCTAGATTCTTACTTCATACATTCCCTGTCATGATTATTAATGGATGTTTACAGCTCTTCATTTTGAGTTGTGCCCCATCAATTAGTAAGGTCCCGGAGACTTTACTCTATTACATTTTCATGGTCAACTGTACTTTGAGGAGGCAGCTTTTTCCCAGTCATATTTTGAGTGCTTTCCAATCTGAGGGGCTTGTCATCTAGCACATATCTGACAATATTCTGGTGCTATTCACAATGTTTCAGTATTCAATAATCTAATGCTCTCTGACAGTGTTCCACTGAAATTCAAAGGTCTTCAGTGACTAAATATTTGGAAGTAATCCTTCTCCCCTTCTTTGTCTTTGTCTGGAAGCTCAGCTGAAACCTGTCCACCATGGGTTATCCTGTTGGTATTTAAAACGCTGGTGGCACAGCTTCCAGCATCACAGCAACATGTAAACCACCCCAGTATTACAAACTGACAGATGATTGGTGGGATTTTATTGTATACCAGGTCTATTGCATGACCTTGTTCAGTATTTTACCATAAGATGCATCAGTTGCTAATGTGAAGCCACGTTGTTTCTCTTATTCAGTGCAAATGTAACACCTACACTGCTTATACACCCACTGGTGTCTCACAAAATATGCCATGCCACTGGATGTTCTAATTTCTAATAATAATAACAAAAGCATGGAAGCCTCCAGACATAGATACAAACATGAAGAGTATTAAGGTTGATGATAATAGAAAGAAAGTCAGAGAAATAGTTCATGAGGAATGGCTCTCATTTGACCATTTTGATGATCAATGAAGATATGAAGAGTATTTTGGAGACAGTTAAAGGAAGTATTGGCTTGAAAATTAGCAATTTTAACAAAGATGGAGTAGCTGTTGCTGATTTGCATAGAAGACCACATCAAGAAGAGGATTCCTATCAATTTAGTGACAATTCAAACAAAAGAACACCGTTTTTTTGGAAAACCTGAAGGTGGTAAAGATTACCATGCTTTAATACCAGCAATGGCTGATTTAATTGCTTCAAAAGTAGATGTGGTTCATAAAACGTGCATCTAACTGGAGATGCAGGAAGTGCTGATGTTGAAGTTGCTGAAAAACTCAACAGTGAGCTGCACATGATAGTACAATAACATCTACTGTGACAGATTTTCAATGGGGATGAAATAGACTTACTTGGGAAAAGGATTTCTTAATGAACCTATATTCACAAGAAGTGAGATTGATGCCTGGTTTCAAGGCATTTAAAATAGGGCTTTGAACTTGATCTTCCCCTGAGGATCTTGTTAGACTGTAGGTTCTAATTTAGTGTATGTGCCGGTGGAAAGGAAATTCTCTAGCAGGGGGTTGAACCAGAATGAACTGGTTAAAGCCCTGATTTAAAGACAGAATCATACTACTTCCTGGAGGAAATGTTGCTTTATTTCAATTAAAACCTCTTCTTGTTTATTTTTCTGAAAATCCTTAAGCATTCAAAAATACTGACCAAAATAATCTTCTAGTCCTACTACTGGAGTAATTCCAAGGCATGGGTGACGATTACATTATTTGAAGAGTGGATTTTAAATTGTTTCAGCCCATAGTGCTGCTATATTTTTTTAAGTCCTCATAATAGTGATTTTATTAAATTAGTTGCTTTATAAAACATTGCAGATGTCATAATTGTTAACATAACAATTTATTACACTATAGTGAACTGGTGAAGTTTGCTGAGCATGTTTTATAAAGAAAAGGAAATGCCAAAACCCTGTTAAAGTTGTTCCATTGCAGCCTAGGAGAACAAAAGAGTTGTTTCTCAGACATTTAAACCAGGCAGTTAAAACAAGCGAAGTTTCCCACCCTCATCCAGAGCACTCCATCAGTAGAAATCTTCTGATAAATATGAACTTGACAGTCTTTGCACTCAAGAAATGCCACAGCCTGAGATGCAATGGAGGTTTACCTTCTTCTGTTTCAAAGTTGGATGGTTTTGGTCATTTATTTTTAAGTATCAAACTCTAGTGGCTTTTCAGTTGCAGTATCTTTACTCTGAGATAAGCAGTCTTCTTCACAATATAATTTTAATATCCTCACACTCAACTTTAAGACAAAGCAATTTTGATACTAGGTGCACACCACATGTCCTTGCTGCAAACTGCTTTTCTTGACAAGTTATGAAGTAGTTCAAGGAGGTATGGTTAAGGCTTTATTAACGAATGGTGCTGGTAAATACGATACAATTTGTCATGTTGCAACCTTGTTTCCAATTTAGTGACTGCTTGGAATCAGATAGCAACAATGACAACATTATTAGGTTTTTCCTTTTTTTTTTTTTTTACTATTTTAGTTACAACTGAGGTTCCCGA